GCATGTCCCTGGGAATGGGCCCGCTTGGGGGCAGTCTTTGAATCAGACTGCCCCCCTGGCGCACGCACACACACACACACACACACACACACACACACACGCACACACACACACCACCTCACACACACACACACCACACACACACACACGCGCACACACATACTCCCACACACACACACACACATCACCACAACCACCACAACACGCACCCACACACACACACACACACACACGCGCTAATGCACGCACGCGCACACGCAGACGCACCACCCCACCCCACCCACCCCACCACCCACCCACCTACACACACGCACACACACGCGCGCACACACATGTGTACATATACATATGTATAAATATGATATAATGTGTATATATAAACACACGCACCACCCCACCCCGCCCCGCTCTGAGCCTTACGCCCTCTAAGACATACGTTCCAAAACCCGAATTATAATTCCTCAGATGTCAGCCGTGAAACTTACGCCCAAAACTCATAGCTGCTTTCACCCCCGCGCCACCAGCCCCGACCCCCAGCCGCAAGCCCTCCGCCACCACCACCGCCACCACCACCACCCACCCACCACCACCACACATGTGCACACACACGCGCGCGCATACACACAGCCACACACACACACACCACAAACCACGGTGGCCCCACAAACACCAATTGTTCGGCCCTAAACCCTGGGCCGTACGCCTTACGCCCCAAGCCCTAAACCCTAGAGCGCAGGATTTGGAGGCCCCAATCGGTGAGGGTGAAGTGTGCGGTCCCCGTTATTTCACGCGCGCGACGGCACCCTCACGCGTCGGCCGACGTGTTGCACGCGTGAAATAACGGGAACCGCACGCTTCACCCTCACGCGCGCGTGAGGGCGCGAGTGAGGGTGAAGCGTGCGGTTCCCCGTTATTTCACGCGCGCGACGGCACCCTCACACGTCGGCCGACGTGTGAGGGTGCCGTCGCGCGCGTGAAATAACGGGAACCGCACGCTTCACCCCCGACGTGTGAGGGTGCCGTCGCGCGCGTGAAATAACGGGAACCGCACGCTTCACCCTCGCCGATTTGGGTTTCAAAATCCTGCGGCGTGGGCCCTAAACCCCAAGCCCTTTTATAAGCTCTTACAAATGAGCCTTAAGCCCTAAGACATAAGCCGTATGCCCTAAGCCCGAAGCCCTAGGCCCTGAGCCCAAAGCCTTATCTAGTCCCTCTGCACTAGGCGCCGAACCCGAAGCCGCCCGAACCCCACGCCCTAAATACTGGGCTCTCGGCCGTAAGCCACAAGCTTCAATCTCACGGCCGTAAACCCTAAGTCCCGCCTTCGGCCTGAGGCCCCATGCGCTGTGCCCTAAGCCCTGATCGAGCTGTGCGCCCTCAGCCCTCGGCCCTACGATAAGGTAGGGCGTGGCATGTTTCATGCGCAGGCTTCGCCCTGTTGCTGGGCCTGGCTCGCATTGCTTGGTCGGGCTTGGGGCCCATCTGTTTGGGCGCTCTGGGTATCCCCGAAGTCCCTCGTCGCATCAGTTCAGCCGTGGGGAAGCGTTCTGACCGCCGGAGGCTGAGCTCCCTGATGCTGCCGTGCGCCATTCGATGCCGTCGCGCGTTGGGCGAGTGTCAACAGAGAGGGGGTGGGGGGGGGGAGAGAGAGAGAGAGAGAGAGAGAGAGAGAGAGAGAGAGAGAGAGAGAGAGAGAGAGAGAGAGAGAGAGAGAGAGAGAGAGAGAGAGAGAGAGAGAGAGAGAGAGAGAGAGAGAGAGAGAGAGAGAGAGAGAGAGAGAGAGAGAAAAGAGAGAGAGAGAGGGGAGAGAGAGAGAGAGAGAGAGAGAGAGAGAGAGAGAGAGAGAGAGAGAAGAGAGAGAGAGAAGAGAGAGGGATAGAGAGAGAGTGAGAGAGAGAGTGAGAGAGAGAGAGAGAGAGAGACGGGGGGGACACGTCGCGAGGACACGCTGCCGCTCGAAAACTCCGAAGGCAAGGCGGGGACATAGTGCAAGTTCAAACATCTTCAAAACCAAGGGAGGGGCGGGGGGGGCAGGGGGATAGCGAAGGAGATGAGGGGGGGAGGCGAAGGAGCAGATGGTGGGGGGAGTCATGAGGAGGGCGATGAGGAGGAGCAGGGGCGAGGTAAAACAAAACGGGGGTCTACAGGCGGCACTGCATCGCCCCCCCCCCCCCCCCCCCTCCCCCGGAATAAGAAGCCCTCTCACCTATCTTAGCCATTTGGGCCCAAGCAAGGATGACAGACAGGAGGAAGGCTGCTGATTTGGATGCGCAAGCAATCGTCGATGCATTGAACCTCTCACCCGTAACTTCTCTCATGCATGGCGGGATCAAATGCGACGACCTGGATTTCAAGCATGCCCCGAAGTGGCCAGAAGCCCATCGGTTCCGACTTGTGATCGATCGGCTTCTAGATATGTCTGGCGGCCATAACATACTTTCTACTTCAATGATCAACGGTTTCAAGAAATATCCGCTTGACAATGGAATGGACTGGAGCAAACCAGATTGCGATCACAACTCCTATGCGATCCGCGCTGTGATCGCCCAGATGGCGAACCATAAGCATCACGAGCGAGGTGCGCCGAGCAGCTGGCAGCGGTACTTCGGGGCAATTTACGACAAGGTCCGCATTAGTGAACGCAAACGCCCTACCCCCAATAAAGATGATACTGCGAGAAGTCCTTCGATCCCATCCGTCATGTCCATGGCGGGTTCGTCAAGCAAGAGGGCGCCTCCTACCGACGCTCTGCAGGTGTGCTCGTCTCCCGAACTTCTCCAGAGCAGCCAGGAGCATGGGCCCGAACTTTTCGAGTCCGACCACGTCGTTGTGGCAAGCCTTTTGAAACAAGGGGGCGAGGATATCGACGCCCTCTTGCCACCCTGCGCCACGCCAGCCAAGAAGCACGTGCAGGGAGCTTGGGATACCAGCGAGCTTAGCTTGTCACCAGGAGCCCAGGCCAAGTTGAGCGAAGGCGATGGAGATATCACGCCTGGCGACTGGAGAGATTTCAATCAGGATCCCAAGGAGAAGAAGAGGAAGCTCGGGACGATCTCAAAGAAGCCGTCGGCGAGGGCCAAGAAGAGGCCTGCCGCCACCCAGGTTCTTGAGCCAGCCGATGCAGGTGAGAGGGCGCAGCCTAGGATCGACACAGAGGTTTGGAGGAAATTCCTCAACCGCATACACAGTAGGGCTCGCGCAGCTGGACTCCAAGAACTCCGTGGCGATGACACCATCTCTGGTGCTGCCAAGCTGGCAGCAACCGACGAAAAAGCTGCTGCTAGGGTCGCCGAGCTTAGGGCGCAGCGGCTGAATGGCGAATTAGATTTGTCACTTTTGTATTGAGCTTGCTGGGTTACTTTAGGGGGCGGGCAAGGGATCTCTCAGGGCACGTCGGACGTTAGCAAGCATGAAAAGGGGCGAGGGGCTGGGAAAATTGGCCCGACGGCATGCGCCTGACTCGGGCGTCAGGCCCAGTTTGGGGTCACAACTTGCATTGCGTGCAATGTGTTGGTCAGCCTTCAGGCCAGATCTAGCTCAAACGAGTGCTCTCCGAGGCGTGCCACTGCCAGAAAAAATGCGATGTAACTCCAAAGCGGTGAAGCTGGCAGCCGAGGGAACGACCGCGCCCAGAACCCAAACGACACCCAAACAACCAAAACTGAAACGATAACCCAAACGAGAACAATCCGAACGACCGAAGTCAAACGATACAGAGCAATCCAAACGAGAATCTAAACGAGAATCCAAACGAGAACAATCCAAACGAGAACAATCCGAACAATCCGAACGACCGAACGGATCCTTAGCAATTTCGGCTCAAACAGGCTCTGGCGACTATTCACCACATCCTGGCAGCCAGCTTTGCGAGCAATACTTCGCGCTATGGCCTCGCAACCATTCGGGGCGTCGTCCCGAGACGGCCCAGACGTGGACAAGTTCGACAGGAGCACTGTTGAAGAAGACCCGACTGTCTTACAAGGCTTCTTGCGCGAGTTGGAGAGCATGGCGACCATCTTCGCGGCGTGGCTCGTCCAAGTGGGAGACCATCGGTATACTGAGAGCCTTCGCCAAGCAATCAACGAACTTGCTCTTGAATCTTCGATTCTGGCGAGCATCGGGGAGGAGGCCCAGCAGGGCAGGGTGCATGATCCGATCTCGTGCGGCACCTTCGGCGTCAGAATGATGGACCTCATGGAGAAGCGCACCGAGCTCAAGACTACTGTGGAGGGGCACATCAACCCAAAGGTCAAGGTCGTCAAGCGCCACCCGAGCGACGAGCTCACTGAGCCCAAGCGGGACCCCGAGCCGCTCAAGGACCTCGAGTCGAGCCCCGAGGCAGGCCCTTCAGACGGCGAGGGGCACATCGAGGACAGCCAGGTGCCGTGCTAGGCGCCCCAGAGGTGAGCTTGGGCGGCAGGACGCATCGCATGTTCAGTTCCCGAGTCGATCGTTCATGCCAACGATGCTGCCCAAGGTGGCGGCCCGAGCAGCCAGCTACCGCATCGACCCTCGGCAACTTCGATCTCGTGCTCTAGGAGCTCAGATCCTTCCAGGAAGCGTTCTTGAGGCAGACGGGCCGTTACCTTTTTCCGACGGAGGATTCCGAACATGTATTTTCCAAATCCAGAGTTTCAAGCGGGGGGGATGAGGAGGGACCCCATTGGGCCTGAAACTGTCAGACCCAGTCAGGTTTGGCGCCGAGGAGGCCGGAGGGGGGATGAGCAGGAGGAGGGGGGGGGGACTGGGGGGGACTACGACAGGTCACAGGGCCCGAGGGCCCGAGGGCGCCGCGCTGTTTGGGGAAGGGCAACCGCACATAAACTATACTAGACTAGAGATTAGGTTTTTTGTTTTTCATTAAATCACGCACGCGATTCGCAACATAGAGCCGACATAGAATAACGTAATAGGTCGGTACTATGTTATAGACAGTGATACATATTGCAACATAGGCGCAACATAATATGTTATTCTATGTCATGTCTATGTCGCGTTGACGCCCACAGGGCATTGGTGAACGACGGCGCGGGCTCGGCACAGAGCGTCGGATGCCGGGAGACACCGCTGGGGATTGGCGCCGTCGTCCTCATCCCCCCTCCGACATCCCAGCCTTTGAATGTCACATCCATGTTGCGTTTAAGGGCTTCGTCTCTCACATTCGTTACTACCGACTGGGCCCTCTTCTGCGCAGTATTTCCCCCCTTCGGGCCTCGCGGGCTCGTCTTCACGCGAGCGGGGAACATTTTTTGGGCGAGCTTCCTCCCCCCCCCTCTTCCTTCTCCTCCTCCCCCCAATACCCGTGGCCGTTTTGGCCCATTCCCTATAGCTTCTGGGAGTCCGAAGTCCAGGCTGCAGCCTCCACAGGGATTAGATGCGATGGCCCCCAAGAGGAAAAAGCTGACGAAGACACCCGTGGAACCAATATCGCAGCCTCTAGTGGCGCCAGCGGGTTTAGCCAAGGCAAAGGAGCTGCTGGCCGACGCCGAGCAGCGCAAGCGAGCTCGGTCCTCCATGGTGCACTTTTTACAGGCGAACAACAAGAAGGAACAGCACGATAATTCACCAGACGAAGTCAAAAAGGAGTTCATGAGCGCATGGTTCGCTCAGCACCTCGCTGAGAAGAGAGCGAAGGCTACGATGAAGCAGTCCCAGAAGGTGCAGCACAAGCATTCAGCCGCATCATCATTTCACCTGGATGAGCAAGCAAACGATGATCAACCACTTTGGCGAAAAGAAAACAAACGATAAGACATCTCCGGGCAAGCTCAAGTTGAGGGCCGACCCCGACTCGGGGCTAATGGGCGAGTGGAATGCGGAGCACAAGATTTGGAACGACTCAGGTGGCCGCTCAGATAGGAAAGACGAAGCTAAAGAGATCCAAGGCGACACCGAGTTGACCGACGATGGGTTGAAGAAAGCGGCGGCCGACCTCTTCAACGAGAACGCGCAGTTTTTCGCCGCGGAGGGGCCCCCGTCAAGTGGGAGTGGGTCGTCGGCCGTCTTCAGGGGCGTCGCCATCAAGAAGGAGCACGTCACCGAGACCAGCGCTGCCGCGGGCGGGAACCCCGTGCATGAGACCGAGGCGACGAAGAGCATCTCGAAGGACCCGAGGAAATTGCTGCGCCATCTAGGAGACATCGTTGTGGAGTTGAAGGCTATGTTCCAAGCTACCGAGCAGGAGAAGTACGCTGGGGAGCTCAACTCCGACACTGGCCAGCTGCCGCCGAAGATGTCGAGCATGCACGAGACCATGGAGAGGGCGGCCCTTGCGAAGGAACCAATTTCATGCGAGGAGCTGCTCGCCATCTCAACGAAGATGGACACGCTGTTCACGGAGTTCAACCACCTCAGCGAGTGGCACGCCAAGTTCTCGAACCCCAACCCGAAGAGGAGTCGCGAAGCCTAGCGATGTGATTCGCCCTGCTGCCACACAGCCCAGCGTTTCTTTCTTGCGAGGCTGGCCGTCCGCAACGCTCGAGGAGGGGTGGTCTCGGGCATCCAAGCTTGCAACGACGCCACGCTGCTACGGCACCATCCTCGCGGCAAAAAAAAAATACAACATTTGCCAGCAACAACGCCATGGGCCCCCCAAGACCTCCCCAAGACGGCCCAAGACGCCCCCAAGAGCGGCCCAGCACGGCCAATATGCCTCCGGATGCGTGGGGGGCGGGGAGGGCGCGCAGAAAAAAATGCGCTGCGGGGCTGTGGGAAAACATGTTCTGGACATTATTCCACGTTTCAAAACCCACTCCGTATTTATATTTGCCCCCCCCCCCCCCCCCCCCCCCTCAAGGCCTCCCCAAGACGGCCCAAGGGGCCCAACGGCCTCTAAACTGCCTCCCAGAAGCCCCCGGAAGGCCAGCCACGATATCACAACCCACATCCATATTGTGTATGCGTATGTAAGTACGTATATGTGTGTATGTACGTGTGAAGGGATGTACGTGTGTGCATGTGTATGTATGCATGTGTGTATGTGTGTATATATGTGTGTGTATGTGAGTATGTATGTATGTTTGTAAATATGGAATGCGTGCATGTGTGTATGTGTGTATGTATGTATGCATGCATGTATGTATGTATGTGTGTGTGTGTATGTATGGATGTATGTATGTATGTATATATGTATGGTTGCATGTATGTATGTATGGTTTTATGCGTGTATGTATGTATGTGCGTGTATGCATGTGCATGCATGTGCACGTGCATTTCAGGTGCGATCCGAGAACGGGGCCCCGCCCTAGAGGACCTTAAGAGCCTCTGAACAGCCCCAAATCGGTCGTCAAAATTTCATAAAACATTGACGCTGGTTTCTGGCCTAGAAAGCCTAGCGAGTGTCTAGGATGACGCCTACCAATATGCCATGGCCTATGGCTGGGACCCTATCGGGCGTGACCCTGCCGGGTGGGACCCTGAGTAGTGTGACTCCGTGGGTTGGGGCCCTATGGGGGTGGGGCCTTATCAGGTGGGATTCTATGCGACGGGGCCCTTGTGGGTGGGGCCCAATCCGGTTGGGCCTTATCGGGTGGGACCTACAAGATGTAGTAAGAACCCTGAGGGTCTCTGAGGCAAACCTGATTGGGCCATTGATGTGACCATGGCCGTGATCGCTCTCTGCCGGCGCCCTCCATGCGCCCACCCCCATCGAGAACCCCAGCCTGTATGTAGGCGTCTCTTGGTTTGAGAGTTTCATGAGTTCGGGGCGCAGAGGTGGCGTCAAGCACCGTTTGGGTCTTGACGTTGCGCGCGGCGCTTCTGGTTCACCCAGCTTGGCGGTCTCGGGCGGAGCCCCCAGTTCGTCGTCCAGCGGCCAGGGGGGCATTCGTCAGAGTTTGGCAGCTGGGGCAGTGGAAGCCCAGAGGCCAGACGAGGCTCAAGGCAGAGGTGTTCGTCAGAGATTGGCGAGCCAAAGTGATACTGATGCGCAACAACCAAGACCGTTCAACGATCTTGTCACGAAGAAATGGTCACCTGGGCGCATTAGCGCCGAGGACGTTCTAGAGTTGTCCGAGGCAGCGTCCGCCCAAGGAGCTCGAGGTGTCGGCAGTTTGGGGTCGGGCCTTTGTCCGACTAACGCACATCGTTCCGTGACCAATGCTGTCGGGGCGCCTGACAAGGCCCCGCGGATTCGCTGGATTGACATCCCTGGCTCAGGAAACACCAAGCAGCAGCACCCAATAATTTGCCCCATTGATGCACTCGAGGCCCTTTTGAACAAGGACAGAAATAGATTATACGATGACATCGTTGGCCCCAAAGAAGTCATTGGAGATTTTTGGCAAGGTATTCACGATGCGCAGCTTTTCGGTGGCATAAGAGACTATATCAAAAATCCTGGTAATACGATTGGGTTGTGTATTCATGGCGATGGTGCTCCGACCAACAAAACTGATGGGCTATTTACGATTTCGATCAACAGCCTTCATTGCAGGCCGAGTGCAGCAACCAAGAAATCGAGGATCATCTTCACAGTCCCCAAGAAAGGCAACATCGTCAAGGGAACCCTTGAGGCGCTATGGGACAGGCTAGCATGGGCAATGAATGCTTTGACGGATGGAACAATGCCAAATTGCGATTGGATCGGCAGGCCTCTAAGAGACGGAGGACGAGAGCTGCTCGGCGGTTGGCTCGCTGCGGCAGTTCAGATTCGCGGCGATTGGGGATTTTACAACCAAGTTCTAGGGTTCCCTACGCCCACGCAGGGGCCAAACATGTGCTGGTTGTGCGGGGCACCCCCTTCTGGCCCCTTGGTATGGACCCAGTCAGGGCCCGATGCCGCGTGGAGATTGACAGTTCGGACTCATCAAACAGACATGGAACAACTTCTGGCCGAGGGTAAGCAGCCACCAGGGCTGTTCAGAATTCGCACGCTTCGCTTAGAGGGAGTTGCCACTGACATACCCCATGCAATAGATTTGGGGGTGAGCTCGCATCTGATTGGGAATATCATTCTGGAGGTAATGGCATCAGGTGCACTGGGGCCAAATCAAGCCAAGCAGCTCGAGAACTTACGCAATGATCTGGACGCTTGGTACAAGAGCCATCCAAACATGTACCGCATCAGAGGGGCCATCACGATGGAACGATTGAGGTCAACTAACGAATGGCCTGAGTTCAAAGGCAAGGCAGCTTCGAACCGTCACCTCGTCCAGTGGTTAGCGGAGTTTGCTGCTAAGCATAATTCAGGATCGACGCATGATAACCGACGTTTGGCGTGTGCTCAGTTGCTTGCGGAGTATTACAGAATCATAAAATCAGAGCCTCGTTTCATGTCGGATTCAGCAAAATCGAGGATCGAGACTTGTTGCACACATTTTTTGGCCATCTACAAAACATTGTCTCGAGAAGCATTGAACGCGTCTTTGAGATGTTGGAAACTTTCTCCGAAGTTCCATTTATTTCAGCACGCTTGCGAGCTGCAGCTATGGATTAACCACCGATTCACATGGACATATAGCGACGAGGACTTGCAAGGCCACGTAAAGAAGTGTGCCGTTTCATGCCACTCCTTCCACCACAGTTAGTCACGATACGTTGCAGAAATGGTTGGTCAACACGTTTTAAACGTTGAGTCGCCTCCAGAGGAAACACAACGTGGTCAGCCTCCTTCTCCATCATCCTCCATAGCATAGCATATCATGGCATAGCACAGCACCGCACAGCAAAGCATAGCTTAGCATAGCACAGCGCAGCACAGCACAGCATAGCATAGCATCGCATAGCATATCATAGCGCAGCATATCATAGCATAGCATAGCATAGCATAGCATAGCATCGCGCAGCTTAGCATGGCATAGCATAGCATAGCATAGCATCGCAACTAATTCTGCTTTCCTCGGGGGAGGGGGAGGAGGTAAAGGAGGCTGCTGTCGACCCGATGACACTGACCACGGCGCGGCGCGCGGCCGCCCCCCCGCCAGGGAAAGGGAGAGCAGGGAAAAGGGCGAAGGGAAAGGAGGAGGAGGAGGAGGAGGAGGAGGACCAGGAGGAGGAGGAGACGGAGGGGGAGGAGGCGGAGGAGGATGAGGGAAGAAATAAGGATAAGAGGAAGAGGGGGAACATCATGAGGAGGCGAGCGTAATAATAATATAATATCATGAGAAGAAGAGGAGGATGAGGGGAGGAGGAACGAGGAGGATGAGGAACGAAGGTTTTCATATCACCGCCCACAACAAAGCTTAAAAAGGCAAACAGACGACACGCTCTACGAAATCCAAACAATAAGGATACGAACTCTTTTTCTAGGCTGAAATGCAAGCTTTAAGGGTTGGTTTCTCTTGGATCAGACGCGCTCGACCTTCTTTTCATATTGTTTTCAAGGTCGTGTGAGTGGTTTCAGACGCCTGCTCCTGATTTCAAGCGTTTGCGAACCTCGGGGGAAGGAGGAGGGGGAGGAGGAGGAGGAGGAGGAGGAGGAGGAGGAGGAGGAGGAGAAGGAGGAGGAGAAGGAGGAGGAGGAGGAGGAGGAGGAGGAGGTGGGGGCAGAGGGGAGAGGGATGACGAGAAGGCGGCGAAGGGGGAGGGGGAAGGGAGGAGCGGCAAGGGCTGCCAACGGGCGCCCGCGAAGCGCCCACGACCAGGCTCCAACCAGGGGCAAAGGGGGGGTGCATGCAGATGGTTTCGGCCCCGCTCCAGGCCCATTCCTCGATGCATGGGCGCCTCCCGGCGCCGGGGGGCGTTGGGAAAATCGGCGACGTGAGCTGGTTTTCTGCCCCACCCTTTGCTATCCCCCCCGTTCGTTCCCCCCGACTCTCCTCCTCCCCGTTGGATTTCTCTGTCGGCACCCTGGCCGTGCGCTCGGCGATGATGAGCTTAAGTCGGGCATGTCCCTCTACAGGAGGAATCTTCAAACATAGTTTGGTAGGAGGACCGGTATTCGATTATTTCCGACAAAAAAATATTAGATTCTACAGGCTTGCGCCACATCCGCCGACCCCTTCTGTGAGTGTTGCGAGGCCAGGAGTTTGTGGCCAGCGGCGTCTTGTGTGAGGGTGCGGTGTCGCGCGCGGGTGTTGGCAGATACGTAGGGGGTCCAAATGTTTGCGTGACGCCGGTGGTTTGGGGCGTGTTTTGCGAGCGCCTTGCGCGCTGTGCACCCAGGTGCGGGGTGTTCTTCTGGGAGGTCGGCCTTTCGACCCGCAACCAAGTGGAGGACCACCGGAAGACGAAAGGAGCAAGAGTGGTGTGCGGAAGCTGTGATCAGCGAGGCATCACCGCGAAAGATGTGGCAGATGAGTCGAAACGGGTGAAGAGGTCGTCGACGTTCGCAGCGCGCACTAAACAGTTCGCGCGGCAGCAGCACAGGAGCGCCGAGCAAGATAGTGAGCACTTCACGAGGAAGAGCAAGGCTGTATGCGCGGAGTTCATTGCAGTTGGCTTCACGGCTCGCAATGCGGAAGCGTCTGGGGATCTTTTCGGGGCCTCCTGGGAGCCTCTTGGGGGCTCCGTGGGGCGTCTTGGCGGCCTCTTGGGGGCCTCTGTCGGCCTCTTGGGGCCCTCTTGGGGCCCCCTGGGGCTCGTGGGGGCGGGCCCCTCTTGGTGCCGTCTCGGGGCCTTCTTGGGCCGTCTTGGGGGCCTTTTGGGCCGTCTTGGGGCCATTTTGGGCCGTCGTGGGGCCGTTTTGGGGGCCTCTTGGGCCGTCTTGGGGCGGTCTTGGGGGCCTCTTGGGCCGTCTTGGAGCGTCGGAAAGCCCACAAGGCGAATTTGTGAAACAATATACGTTTTACAAAGGACATGAGCAAATGTTTGCGTCTAGGGACCCTCTTGGGACGTATCTTGGAGGCCTCTTGGGGACGTCGTAGGCCATCTGGAAACCATTTCGGGTGTCTTTGATCGCTCTTGGACCGCCTGGGGCCATGTTGAGCTCTCTTGGAAGCACTTGGAGCGTTCCTGGACCGCTCTTGGGGCCGTCTTCGGGGCTCTCCTGGGCCGTGAGCCGTCTTGGGGCTCTCTTGGGCTGTCTTGGGGCCCTCTTGGAGGCTTCTTGGACCGTCTTGGGGCGGACTTGGGGGCCTGTTGGGCCGTGTGGGGGCATCGGAAAGCCCAAAAGGCGAAAGTGTGACAAATGTACGTTTCACCAAGGGAACGGGCCAATTTTTTGCGACTAGAGGCCCTCTTGGGACGTATCTTGGATGCCTTTTGGGGCCTCTTGGGGGCATCTTGGGCCGTCTGGAGGCCACCTGCGGTGTCTTTGATCGCTCTTGGAACGTGTGGGACCATATTGAGCGCTCTTGCAGGCCAGTTGGAGCGCTCCTGGAACGCTTTTGGGGCCGTCATCGGGGCCCTCTTGGGCCGTCTTGGACGCCTGTTGGGCCGTCTTGGGGCCCTCTTGGGCTATCTTGGGACTATCTTGCAGGCTTCTTTGGCCGTCTTGCGGCGTTATTGGGTGCCTCTTGGGCCGTCTGGGAGCATCGGAAAGCCCAGAAGGCGAACTTGTGAAACATTGTACGTTTTACGAAGGGAATGGGCCCATTTTTTCGTCTAGGGACCCTTTTGGG